TATATAATTTTTAGTTAATAAGAACTTAAAAAATATATCTTTTGGTAGAAAATAATAAATAATTTATAAATGTATTTGTGTTAAGCGATATTTTTACCTAATACTCATCTAGAGAAGTTCCAAGAAATCTCCTAAACATAACGCAAAACGAAATCAATTATTGAAGCTATGATTACCTTCTTTAAGATATTAAAGATTGTACATTCCAGAATTCATAATTTTTTGAACATAATTCGGGACAAATACCACAAGTTTAATGCTTTTGGCGTTAAGGTTACATTAAATTCGACGTTATATTTCCAACGAGCAGCATTTGTTTTGCATAGATTAATTAAAAAAGGATGTAAATATTTATTATGCGCAATAGCTGTAAAAAAACTCTAGAACTCTGAAATTCGCCAAGCATGAAGGTTTCTGAGTATGGGATAATAAGACCTATGTTGGTCAATAATCGAATATTTTACATTCATAATATATTTAATTCGTATTTCAATTGATAGGTCCTTATTAATTGGATAGTTATATTGTTTTAGTTTTGATTACATTGAAAATATTGCTACTTTACGATTATTTCCGGATAATAGTAGCAACTGTAGATACAACTTAAACATTACTTCTATTCTAGACATTTTCACATATGTGATCAAACATGTGATTCGAACTTTGAAAAATGAACAAGCTTAAGTCGAATACTGTAACCGAGCTAAACGTTTTGGCATCTTCACATACATAAATAATATAAAAAATAACTTAGTTGGTATACAAAATTAGAACAGAAAAAACATATTTTACGTATACTCGAGTACGTTAGAATCTGCATGCCATTAAACTATTGACTAATTTATGATTTAATTTATTGCAAAAAACTCAGTTTCTAAAACAATTCATTCTTTCGATCGTTTTTTATGTTACATAATCCGGCACAACGAAGTAAAGGATTTACAACCCTTTGCAAGAACAACTGACTGTTTTTTATTTGTCACACAGCACAGTCCAGCGTGGTTCTTAAATTAATTGATTCTAATTAGCAGTTTCAATAATAGTTCGTTTTATGCTGAAACAAAAAAGTCGAAGTTTAAAGTTGTTTGCAGATATGTTCCAAAAACTGTTGGCAGGCAGAATGCACTTTTGCATCGTAAAATATTTATATGAAAATTTCCAACTTTCTAGAGTGATGAAGACATGAGTCATAAACTACCCTTCTGAACTGATAGTGGAGTAGGTGGAAAATTGGCCATACATGAGATGGAAATTGGTTTATTTTATAAATAAAGAAAAATAACAAACTATTAGTTATTCAAGCTTAATAAGAAAGTAATTTTCTACTAAGACAATTAAGAGTTTTAATTGCTTTGCTGCTGTTTTATTTGCATTTTATGATGTTTAGGCATCTGCACAAACCACAAACTTGGGATTAATAAAAACTTAGTGTCTCCTTAATTGGCCATCAGGGAGGCGATTTTTCATTAACTCATAAACATTTATAATGAAAAATACAAGTTAACAAATGTACGCCGCAAAGATATCAGTAAATAGTATTTGATAGCAGTAAAATAAGATTGTATTTTGCAATTAATGTTAGTTTTAAATTAATTAAAATTTTAAGCGAAAAACATACTTCAAGCTAGCACATTTTCTTAGCCGAACGCAGTAAAATAATAGAAATATGATTATTTTCTAATTTTTCGGCGAATTATTTTATTCCAGATAAATATGGTTAATGTCCCTAAACGGAATTAATGAAATGATAGCTAAGAAACTGAAAAGCTTGTTAATAAATCTTTGCCACAAGTTTAATTACAAGATTTGGAAGCACAGAGTGGTCGGGATTCATCCACCAAATATTTCTATTATTTGGAAATATTGAAATATCCGCTTTTGAACTTTTAATCGCATTTAATATCTTTTTCATTGTGATTGAAATGTCTGTCATTCACTTGCTGTATGAAGTACTGGCTAAAATTTAAAATTCGAAATTGGAGCTGTATTTGCTGCTTGATTTACCGAAAACAGAATGTTGAAGGTTTGCTTTAAAAAATACCGCCAATAAATTCATCGGGAAATTCTGCTGGCTCTTTTCGAAGACCACCCAGGTTCTTAGATTAGACATCATGAGTTAATAATACATATTACTTTAATAATTAGCATTCCGCATTTGATTGTGTTTTAAGACTGAATGTTACTCTTTATATTTTTTCTGCGCGCATATAAATTTACAATTACTTACAAATTTGTATTTTACGTACAGCAATCTATTAATAACAAGTCGAAAAAATCCGGTCGTAAAATTTACTAAAACATCATAGTTTTAACAGATTCTCATATCTATCAGTATTAACAATTATTACAGCACGATTATTTTGGGCTACTTGAGCCTACTGTTTGAGGGTAATTCCGTAGGCGCCATTTGAGAATTAATATTACATTTATCCTTTAGTCCGAAGGGTAACAAATGGCTTAAACAATACATACGAGCACCACTCCATTCAAGTCCTAATCCATATTTTCAAAAAACTACTGTATAAATTAATTTAACAAGCAAAATTAATTTTAATTCAAACCGCTTCCGTAAGTTTTTGTTTTAATTCCGTAGCTGGACAACTCCATGATTTGTTTGCAACAACACAATTGAGTAATGGAATGGATATAGTGGAACAGCGAGATTAATGCGTTACAGAGTTTTCCGTACCAACTAAATAAATTGTGTCGGAAAAGTTGCTTGCCGAGTTCTACCTAATTCCAAAAAATCGAGAGAAGTTGTAACCCGTAAAAACTGACCATTAATCTTGCCGATATCCCGCCTATCGACGAGATAGTTTTTACCAGTTTTCCCATGCTTCTTATAACCGTGTGCCCCATCTATCATGTATCTATTTATTACATCTGTTCAAGTAGGTAGTCCTGCTGACTACATCAATCAAATCGAGTGAGGTTGCTCAAAGTGGACGAAAGAAATATTCACTAAATGGATACAACACTAAAAATTAGCCAAACCAACCAAGTAATACAATTTAAAACTCAAAAAAATGCAGACTCGATTGATGAATGTTTAACTATGGTCTACGAATCCAGCGATAAGGAATTAAATCCATCGATTCGAACATACAAAACATTAACAAATTGAATACATAAAGCATCCCTTACAGCCATATAAACTGACTCCCAGGCCGTCATAATAATCGTTAATACGTGTAATGACCTGCAGCTGATTACCGAATTTCCATGTATTGGTCCTGATCATTATTAACCGATTTCCGGTTCATTCAATTATTATTGCTGAAATAGTTACCCGGAATATTTGTGTCAGTTGATTATAAATCGGTTTTCGGCTTGCAAATAATTGAAAAGATCCAAAATATTTGTTAGCTGAAAATCAAGCATAATTAGCGAATTAAATGAGCGCACAAGGTAAACATCATTTATGGACGGCGATCATTAATAATTACACCAAAACCAAAACTATTAATATTAAATAGTTATTTGCCAAACTAGTAGGGTAAGCTATGTTTTACTGAGTTCAATCAGCTTCAGTTGCGTGCGGAATATAGTTTAAACGTCACATAGCTACGATAGAATACATTACTGAAGCACCTTTGGTCAGGCAGATCGTTTTATAGACTTTGACGCCTTTTATAAATTATGTATGTTTGCTCTCTAGTTTGTTATGCTGATGAAATTATATTAAGTTCTTTCACTTCATTATACTACCATTAAATACATAATTTCATTGGGGCACTAAGGTTATATAATGTTATGTTCTCATTTTAGTGTAAATAATATATTTCTTAGATAAGTTCTATATTGTTGAGGCGGATTCATTTTTTTACAAACTTCTTTTTGGGTATTTCGCCTCAAAAATTTTTGTCTTTAAAAAAGACAG